AATACTAGAGGTCAGATCAGCCGTTGTGTAATAACCGTTGAGATCCATTCGATCACACGTCGGTGCCTTACGAGTCTGGTACTCCAAGTTCGAGTAGCGTCGCTCGGCAATACTTGACCCTCCAGGCTGTAGATAGGCATGCGACGTTGCTGGTTGATACTCCTCCTCAGACGCTGTGCACATCTGCTCTCTTCTGTACTTGTTCGCCATATAAGTCTGATATGCGGTCCTGGACATCAGTTCCGACGTTTTGATTGAAGGTAGAAATTGGATGACTCCTCTCGGTTGTCCCCCGAGACGAGTGGTGATTCCTGATCGTCGAGGAATGGTCGAAATGCTCCGCCTAGGAGGCAGCTGTGCCTCGACCTTCAAAACTGGAACGTTAAATGATTGCCGTCTAGTGGTATTATCACGGCCTTCATCGGGCATGGAAGGACTGAAATCGGTTCCAATGAATCGACGCCTGTTTCTTCGGCTAAGAACTCCGATGGTCTTCGCGGCTTCCTTCAGTTCTTCGATATCCGTTGTGACGTAATTGCTTTCACTGCCGCTGGAGGACGTGAGTTCATTCGTGGTAGTCAGGAATGACTCACTGGGCGTAGCCCACACGTCCTCGTTGTTCTGTGTCACCGTCAGATTGTCAGGTTCACGAGAGGTGCTCGGAGCAGGAGTTTCGAGGGTGACGTTTGGGTGAGCGCGATCATTGGAGAAACTGAGATACCTCAAAGAATTGAGGACGTTTTGAATGCGTTCCACGCCGTAAGGATCGTCGTCAGTATGGCACAGGTCGAGGGGCATCGAGCTGGTCTTCCTCAGCGGAATGTTGCGCAAGAAACTGGGCAACTCGGGTTTCTTCTTAACGTTGCCGCAGTTCGAGGGCATGCGCGCCATCGATTCCAGCATGTTCGCCGACGACGCAGAGAACGAGATCGAATTTTGCAGTTTCTGCTGCTCGGACATCAGTCTGTCCGACGACCACCTGCGTTCCTTGACCGGAGGGGGTGACAGCGTCGAGCTGCGTGCCGATTTGGCCTTGTAGCGTTTTCGCCGCACCCCATCCACCTGACCATATTTCTGGCCGAACCGCGGGGATACGAACTGGTCAAGATCGCGGTTGGTCCTCCGCAGATGGCAATGTGCCCCTGTGCCTTCGTATCCGGAACCGCCACAGCACCTGCGGTCTGCGAGCATCGATGCGGAAGCCATGGCGACGACGGGATGGTCGTGGTGGCGAATGCGAACGCACCTTGTGACCAGTCAGCTGACCGGCGATTCGTCGCCCAGCAGCAGAATGAGGCTTTTTTCCGCTCACGTCCTAAATTTTCGGGATCATCAAAAGGCGAGTGAACGAGACTCAATCAACGGACAGCGTACCAAGTGCTAATAACGAGCGTCGAGAACTATTGCTGCTGGAGGAACTTCGTTGGTAGTCATTTGTTCGTTCGCATCGGCCAAGTCGCACAGCCGCTCTCAACTGCAATTGTCGTCGCCCGTCGACCAGCCGATGGCAGACTCTTTGCTTCGAGTGAACAGAAGCAACTCCGAAAGTTTTCAGAGAAGGCTCGCTGGACCACGTCTACTTGTGGTGGCCGAGCAGCCGATACGTCAGTTAAAAGAATGCGTCTGGCCGGAACAGGTGTTTCGGCACGTCAAACTTCAAACTGCATCTATCATCAGGCAGATGTCAAAATATCACAATAATGGCCGATGCCCAGTGTTGAGCAACATCTCTTTTATTGGTCAAGCATAGAAATCAGCCAGCTTCCAGAGGCCGTTCAAAACGGGTACGAAATGCACTGTCTTCCTCCCTCTCTTTCTTTTCATTTATTCTCTATTAGCTGCAGCCAATTTGTTGGAGCTCGGTAATAGCGTTGCGTTACAGCTAAAATTTATGTTCTTGATTGGGTCTAGAATTTTGCCGTTGCCTATCATGCCGTCTAGTAGCTGCAGTAAGTCACTTTAGATTTATTTCTTGACGAGCTGCGAATATCCAAAAGTCATAAATCCGAAAATCGTCGGCAATGGGCCAGGGGAACAACCGACCAGGTTCAACGAACTCGTAAGTGCCCAGTAAATGACCGCCAGACCGATGGCAGGATCAATTGAAGAAGTTCACTGGATCGACAGGGAGAAGAAGCGCAGAAAAGTAGTTCTTGGCAAAATCTTGGAAAGGGCTTTATTCGAGTGTGGATCATAAAGCCGCTGTGAGAATCAGATCAAAGGAGGGAGAAAATTTTGAAAATACTCAAAAACGGTGCAGGTTTCAAAATGAGACCAAGATTCGACTGGATCTAACGGTCTGAAATGATTAGCACAATTGAAACCTGATGCCATTTTTGACATCGTTTGTAATGTGAAAACAAAATGAAAATTTTCCTCCAAGTCAATTTACGATGCTGGATAATTGATTAGTTAGCTTGAAATTTAGGGAGCGAGATGAACCTCAAATTCATTCATGAAGACCAACTATAAGATAAAGGATAAAGCAATCAATAAATTTTGAGGTTACTGAAAATCTCGCTGCTGAACGTAGATGAAAGCAACAACAGCAAATCGTTGTTTAATACACATGCGCATAACACATCCAAGATCAGATTTCTCTGAGCGTTGCACCACCCTTGATCATATTTGCCTAAAGAGGCATTTCAACATGCAATAGCTGCAACGAATTTGAAAATCGGCAGTGCCAGATGCATTTCGTCTTATGTTGTCATTAAGAGCCACCTACCTTTCAGGTGTTGCAAGAACCGGTAATCATTGTATGCTACCGTAGAAGCATAAATACATTTTTATGCGCTGAAGTACATTAAATGATGCCTAAATTCTCAAAAACCAGAATATGATATAACGGCCTCTCGGATAATAAACCGATTCTAACGTTTCTACAAGTTCTTTTCAAAGGAATTTTTCCGACCACCGTCATTTGTCCTTATAAGTATGAGTCAGATGCACGAATCTAATATCGCACCTTCTCAATCGATGGTACAGGTATCACGGTAAGTTTTCGATTAGAGGTGAAACATTCTTTTGACCGCTAAAGGCGCATGAAACCATTCCAGATTTTTCTTACGTGAGGTTAGGGGGTTGGAGTCACAAAAACAGACGAAGAATATATCCTACAATCAACATAAAACAGGTCAGGCGCACATTCGTACTGATGTTGAACTATTAAGTTGTTACACAAATCAGTCGGTATTTAAACCGCCAGTTCGAGGCTTCACATCTTTCCTCGTCTCACGGTTCATTCACCATATTTCTTACCTGGGTCACTTGGACCGGCCGGGCCGGTAATCGGGCCGCACCGGCGGCAACACGCCCTCCATTCCTCACTGTCTCGAGCTTTCTCCCTCCAAGCGCTGCTATTCCGGCTACTCATATATTCTTCCCACCGTCGTGAAGGGAGAACAAGCGGCCAAGTCTGACCGCAGGGATACCAGTCGACGATCATGGCCGAATATCTGCCGTCGGTGAACCGAGCTACGTGCCGTATCCACCATGTCTTCTCCTTGCTGAGTTCATTGACGTCTTCCTGCACTCTGGTACGCTGTCTCGTCGCCATACTGGGAATATGGTCGCGGCGAAATATTCCAAATATTCTTCTTCCTATGGCTCTCTCGGTTACAGATTCCTGGCCCCCCTCGGCTTTAGTGAGCGACCACGTCTCACAGCCGCACAACAATGCCGGAAGCACGGTGGAACTGAAGAATTGGCAGCGTTTTGTTGATGTTGTCGAGAAGGACACCTTTGATGGAATGGAATGCATGTTTACTTCTAGGTTGAATTTCTCCAGACTGATCATTCGACATGTTGATCTCTTGGAAAACCGTGGTAAATGTGTTAATCGATTTCTTCGATTTTTCCCTGTTTAATATTGCTTGGCCTTCACTAGGGCGTCTGAAGGCGGTGTCTCCTATTCAACCGATTCACTCGCATTTTTGTCTCCAGTTTGTGCAACATTTCATGTAGCTGACTGGTGTCTTCCGGAAACACTTCCATGTCGTCAGCGAATCTTAGGTGGCTGAGAAGTTTACCGTTGATGTTAATCCGCCTTTCACGTTATCCTCTGGAACACCATTTTCAAACAGGCAATGATGAGTTTAGAGAGGTGTTTCCGCCCTTCTGTATGAAAATTTGGAGAGTGATATCCAACAGGGCGATTTACGTAGAAGCCGTAATTCGCTTAATTCGGTAGGCTTAAATAACGGATCTATAAAGATGCATATGCCATATTTCGCCAGAGCAGTTCACCACAATGCATTGTACTCGCATTGTCGAACGCTTTCCATAATCGATTAAGGCAGTTCACAGAGTTAGCTGGTGATTCCTCCAACGTTCGAAGAAACATGATTTGATGTGAGGTGAAAGAGTTACTCATTGTGCTGAACTGCTTTGGAATCAAGCCTGTTTTCTTGGCTACTGCTTGTTCTGACTTGTTGACCTTTGACGATGACCATCTCATTGAACAGCTTCTAAACTTGTATGAGCAGACAGACTGGGAATACGTTCTTCAGATCATTTTTCCAACCGATAGTTAAAAACACGTTTGTTTTGGACTCCTTCCAGTTTGATGCTACATTTTCCTTTCCTAGAACCTTCCCGCTAGTTCCCTCTTCACCTCACCACCGGTCTGATCATCTGGGATTCTTCGTTCGTATATTTCCTGCGCTGCGTGCCGAACTTCGTGTATAAGAACCGGATGTGCACATCCATCTGGCTGCTGTAATGATGGCGAGGGACGCGGGCCGCTGATGCAAGGAGCTGAGTGTAAAAGTTCTTGCGGATAGACCTCATATCAGCTCTGTCAACGGTTACTGCATCATCATCGTTCTTCAACGCCGTAATGGATGATTAATGGAGCTATAACTCTTTCCTGCATCGTCTGAGGCATCTGCGGCCCTCAGCTGTTTTTTTAGAATTTGAGCGATCAGAAAGTCTTGAAGTCTACCTTCAGCTTTCGTATAATGAGCATGCATGGAAAAGAGTATTCATCCGCGTTGATCTCATCTCTCTTCGTCCTCGTTCGCTTCCCTAGCAAATTCTTTGTTTCTTCTGAGAACCTTCCTTTCGCTCTCACTTACCACCTCGGCTGACTTTACAGAGCGCCTCAGGTTCCTGGCCAACTTCTTGTAGTCGTCGTGGCAGCTGCCTTTCAGGCCCTTGTCTTTGCTGGAAATACAAGTTTGAAGAACTTACCTGCGATCTGCTGCCCATAGTGTCTTATTCTCGACTTTTCCCTCCTTGGCCTGGCCCTCATCAGTATATGGTCACTGCCGGTGGTTAATGCTCGCATTATTTTTATAACTCGAATCATGCGGCGTTGATAGAACAGGAGGAAGTCAACCTTGTTCATAATCGCTTAGTTGAACAGGATCCATGTTTACCTCCCGTTTGACTTCTTCTTCAAGCAGGTGTTGCCAATGTACAGGTAATTCGTTTGTGCCACGGTCACCAGCCGATTTCTTAGCTCATTTGGCACTGCGGTGCCGCGTCCACCGGCAAACTTTTCATCAGTCCTTCCTCGTGCGAGCTTAACGAAGTCTCCCATGACTTTTGGGGGGGGCAGTGCTTGCAAGAGTTCGTGATTGATTTCTTCCTCTTCCTTCTCGTCGGCTGTACTTGTAGGGCTTCAAGGCCGTCTTACTGTTGAGGTGGAGGCACAACACACCCACGCTTGGTGATCTCACATTGCACGAGATGATTTTGGTCCATCAGCTTTAGCTGACTAAAAATCCGATTCTCGGTTCGTTTTGTTCTTCACTTCTTCTCGCTCCTCAAGCCAAATCGTACTATCGTCTATCCATGTGCTATTCGTCTCCTTCCGCCGTCGAGTCACGCAAATTCCAGGGACGTTGCAGGCCATCCCCTACATTTCCTACATCGGTTCATTTCGCGTTCCATCTGTCGCCGGTGTTCAAACGGAGAGAGAAGCCCAGGGCCGTGTGCCAGATGGCGACCTTCCACCTGGGATTTTCAGCAGCCTCTCGTCACGTGTCGAGCATCGAACCATCGCCGTGCAACGCATCGAGAGACGCACAGGGAAATGAGGCCCATTGATTCTTGCTGTCATAGCGCATGATGTCTTGCCACCTTCTGGCAAGGCCGACGGTTGACTGGAGAATTTCCTAGAGACGTGCTTCCTAATTTCGTCCCAGTCTTTGTCGAGCTTGTTCCTGGCCTTCGACGACTGACGTTTGAACCGGCAACGGTGACGTTGGAGGCCATTTTTCCTTAAAAGTACTGGTGGTTCTGCCTCAACAAGTGATTGTCATTGGACATGATGACTTTTTCTCTTATGATCGAAGGAGTCGAGCTCGAATCAAGCCACGCCCTTGCCATCTCACTTCTATCTGTCTGCAATTAGTTTTTTGCTGCAAGCTCGTTCCTTTGTGCTCAGGTTTGACATAGACAGCAGCTAGGCACACGGGATAGTTGTGCAATGAACATAGGTTATTAATGAAAATATATCTATTATAATCAAGACTACTACAGTACTGTTTTGAAAAATGAAGGAATTCGCTTGTGGAGAATAAGTCCAGTGAATTAGATATGTGACGAACGATGTGCTTCTTACTGCCAAGTGATTCAGTCCGGAAAGGTAATTGGTGAATTTGAGAATAAGCCCTGTTGTGGAATAGGACCTGACCCTTCGGTTCACCATCGTCAGTTGTAGCTGCATCAGCTGCTGATCGGCATCGTGTAATTCATGACATCACCATCCTACCTGCAGATGGGAGTAGCTAATTTTCTGGAATATATTAATAAACACATAGATTTCATGATCGACTTGAAGGCAAATAATTCCAGTATGCATACAATTTCAAAGATTGATATTTTAGTTGCTTTAAATTAAAGAGGTCAATTATATTCCTCGTTGTCTCTGTTAGAGCTGTTTTTTCCGTACTGGTCAATTTCTTAGCAAACTGGGAACCGTCCGATAGCTGTAGTTTTACACCTGACGATCGTTCGAGAATTTGCTGCAGGTTCCCTAATTTTTCCATACTTTAATTCAATAACTTTTAGCGTGGGCTCATTCCTGGTGATTCCTAATCGCTTAATATGCGTATATTAAAGTAAACTCTGCCTGCTGTATGATCATAAAGCGAGAATGCTTAAAAAATTTATGAATCACTGCCAAGCATTCACTCAACCATCACGATTCAGGCAATCTTCTGGTGATGAACTGAAATGGACACGATTAAGGTACTACAAACAAAAAAGACTTTGGTTAGCTGAATGAAACACAGCAGCATAGAGTCCAGCTGACCAGAGGTATTTAATTTACTATTCTATCTAGATTCTACACCGTATAATCTATGGAGACGGAAGAAAGTTCGAATTACGCAAAATCTGATTAATTCAAAGTTTGCCTATATATCGAAACGACAATTAAATGCAGAAATATTAAATACCAAAAATGCCATTTACTTCCATAAATTATATTATTTAAGGTAATGTGATTGCCATTCCTGATACCGAATTTACGCGGTATAAGCAAACAGTTCCCTAGAGTCTAATTGCCTAGGACGGCCATTTCAGCAGGCTACAGCTCCATGACACCTACACATTGCTGTCATTAATATCCGTTGCACCAAAGGAGAGATTCTAGGTGGAACAAACATCCGCCACAGTTGCTATGCAAATCCGAAACTTTAATTTCACTGAATTCCAAAATCACTTTATTCAATAAAGCAATTTAGTCGATTTTCACCCCGTGTTCACCAATGTTCATGAGTGTGGACAATGGCTGATAAACCTGATTCTCAACATAGGCGGGTGAAATGGGTCTTCGAAGACCAATTGCTGACCACACAGCTTTTGAGTCTGAAGTTCAAACATCAAATAAGCAAGAAGGCCTTCATGAACAGCAGCTGCGTCTCAAGAGTGAGAAGACACAGCTGTAATAGTTTTGATACGTCCTGTGATTGCCTTTAGAAATGAACGCAAAACAGCTACTGGTTGCTCAACCGATCCGTCGTAAACCCTGGGGACGATCAAGATTATCCTGGTGCAGATATGTGGAAGGAATCTGCTCCGGACTCTGGTTGTCTTCTGCCGAAGCTCAGATGCTTGCACAGGATTGAGAATGTTAATGACATTGTCTGACGATGTTGTCTCGGCGATCCGAAGGGATAAGTAATCATAGAATCTGACTGGTTGATTGACTGATTGAAATAGTGAGAAGGCAATGAATTGAGTACGGTGTCATACTTTTAATTTTATTCATTGAACGCTGAAGATAGTGCGAACACATGATAAGGACACGATGAATGAGTAGTTGATTAAATTTCTGAATTAACTTGCTAAAAACCATTTAATATAGAGCTGCAGAAAATTAAATTTTAATTATTGAACTGGTGTATTCTGAAAATACATCGAAACATTTGCCTCACGGCTGTCAAGAACATCTGATCTATTTCCATAGTTTACAGTATAATGTGGCTTTCGTCTACTTCGGAACTTCCCGGAAGTTACGCGAGTTCAAACACCGTCGCCGTCATCTGCAATATCTTTAAAAGCTACTATGTTATACATCATCTCGACGAAGGTTTGATGCGTACTCACTGAAACTGAAAATATGAGTTTTTGTCCTGATATGTACATAGCGTAGAAGTTCATGAAACCAGAATTCTCAATGCTGTGATACTCCGTTGCTTCTAGATTCCCAGAGGAGATCTAAAAGTGGCAGGGCCATATGTAGTGTATAGATGCACTGTCGCATCATTCTGATGGGTAACATGATGCATTAGTTTCTTAATGATACTTCAGGAACCTGTACTCATTATCAGCTTCGAAAAAAACAGAAAATGCACGTTCATCATATTATGTTAATAAGCGCATTTTCTGCGTAACAACCTGAGGTGCAACCAGGACGCAAGTTGACTGGCTGCTGCGAGACAAGAGTAGCATGAGTTTAACAGATAGCACCATTTGCATATCGTGTCTTCCCAAGTTATCCGTGAGG